ATCCTTCGGCAACTTCCGTCCAAAGCAATCAAATTCCTCACTTATATATACAATTGTATCCTACGAACTACCCACTTTCCTCTCTTATTAAAACACTCTGTCATCATCCTTTTTCTGAAACTAGGTAAACCTTCTAATAACACAATATCCTATAGACCAATAAGCCTACTTCCCATCCTTTCAAAAGATTCTACTGAAACGAATCCTACCCATAATAGAATTTCAAAACCTTCCTACCCACTAATTCGGATTTCGTTCCCAACATTCCGCTGTCTAACAAGGCCTCCGAGTTGTTGACCATGTATCCCCTCAGCCCTAGAAAACAAGCAATATTGCTCGGGTGCATTTTTGGACATTGCGCAAGCATTTGACCGGGTATGGCACACCGGATTGCTCTTCAAGCTTAAAACCTATCTATCTCAGTCCTTATATCTAGTACTTCGATCCTATCTCTCTAACCGCTCCTTTCAAGTCCGCTGTGGAACTGAATTTTCCAACTGTTATTCCATTGAGGCGAGAGTTCCTCAAGGGAGCATCTCGGGTCCTATCCTTTACATTCTCTTTACCGCTGATATTCCTACTCATCCCGAAACCCTCCTGGCAACATTCGCTGATGACACGGCCATCCTATCTTCCAATTCAGATAACGAAACAGCATCCTTTAACCTACAAAGTCACCACTCTCTTATTGCACACTGGTGCATCCAAGTAAATGAATCCAAATTCAAACACACCACCTTCACCTTTCGGTGCATGTCGTGTCCACCACTTCATTCCAACTCCTTACCACTTCCCCTCTCCGATACAGTTCGGTATCTTGGCTTCCTTCTGGACAAAACACTAACATGGAACCCACATATCAGAATTAAAAGACGATATGGCCAACTATATAGACTACTCAATAGAAAATCTCAACTTTCAGTTGTGAAAAAACCATTAATCTACAAGACAATCCTGAAACTATCTGGACCTACGGGCTCGAACTTTGCGAGACAGCAAAACTTTCTAACATAAGTACTGTCACTGACCAGGTTCTTCACTCAAGTTCTGAGCGTCTGTAGCCCTAGTGCTCTCTATCAGTATCCACTGGCTTACAATACCAGTGACGCGGCTGGAAGAGTAGCACTGGGATCTTCTGGAATCCTGCTTTGGCTTCCACAGTTGGGGTACAAACCTTGATTCAGAGTCCCCTGGTCCAATGTAACTATTGTACATATGTGTGAAAGGTGTTTTATTTATTTTATAAACATTCGACTTTAATCTGTTATTTTACTTATCTTGTATATTACTTCATATATATATATATATATTATATATATATATATATATATATATATATATTATATATTATATATTATATATATCTTTTTCTTTTTCTTTCTCTTCTTGCTTGGTTATTTTTATTTATTTTTCCTTTCTTATGTACATATTGTGTGAATGAATCCTATAGTCCTAGTACCAATGCCCTTCAGTGTGGCAGACTGTATTAATACTCAGTAAAATATATATATAAAAAAATTGACATGCTGGGGATGGAGGACAAATATCACTTTAAGCAATCCAATATTTTGGGGACTATCTTCTTTATCCCTTTTGTAATAAAACCATCTTACGAATAAAGTAAATGAATGCTCATGAATTTTCATTTACTTCATTAAATTTACACAGTTTACCATTCTCCAGATTAAAAACGTTACAGTTGTGGAATTTTTAGCAAATGTAAATGCTGTAGGTCATGCAATGAAAAACAATGTTGGGCTGATAGAAGCCGACTAGCATTTTTTCGACGATATTGGCGATGAATAAAAAAGGTATTGCAAATAAAATAAGCCATTTTATTAGATTTATAAAATAATTACAATTTACAAAAAATGGTACTAATGGTTTTAATAAAATCTATTATTTTTCTGCATAATACACAGTCGTGTATCATTTTAATGGATGAAACTCAATTAGAATCTTTGAGTACGACTTTTTTTTATCGATGCTCACGCTATCCAATTTTGTTTTTCCATTAAGTAGAATATTCTTTTTCTGTCTAATATAACATATTTCAACCAAGGCAAAACAAGAGCTCAGGTTGAGCCCGTAATCCGACCCTGATGCTCTCCATTCTGTTTAATCAAGGAGATACTCAAAATCCACCGACTCCATACATGAAAGGGGACCTTTCCATTTATTACATAAAGTCCTAGGGTGGAGGATTAATCTGCTTTCCAAATATTAAATAATCGATTTCAATATTACAACTTGGTGAAGTGAGGATGATTCCAAACTTATTTAATTAAAGCTTCCATCTCAATCCAAGGTTAGAGAAGTATGAATTCGGCAGTTATTTCGCTATGTACTTAATGTAGCCGTTACTTAATCGTTGTCGACGAACTTCGGTTCAAATGGGCTGAATTTGAACTGAAAATTTAACAACTTCAATTGAGATTAAACATAATAAATTTAAAAGCATAATGAATATCGAACATGACAGTTCTTGAAGCAATCCCAAAGTTATGGATTATAAAAAAATAGTTTATGTAGACTGTTCGAAAATTAAACTTCTTGTTTTATTCAGTTTACTCCACAGCGGAACAGATATCACTTATTGCAACACAGGAGTCTGTCGTACCAAATATTTTCGTTTTAAATAATATTTAAAAATAATTAAAACTTAACATCAATAGAAATACTCATTTAAGAAACTCTTTCTATAACTGCCAGGAATGTGATCAAAAGAATTGACTGTTGTATGGTATTTTTTACTTAGTTTTTTGTTGAGTAATATAACAATTCGTCACAAAGACAATAATTATAGTGAGTTATGACAATAATCACGCTATACATAAAGAAAATATAAAATAAATATAAGCAAAGTAACAACTAAATAATAATGAAAAAGTATATACAATAAATAAAAATAAAATAACTTAAAGATAAGAAAATTAATTTTTAAAAAACACAGGCATACTGCTGTGCATCGTAGAGACAGACGTGAGTTAAAATATATATTTTAGAATTTCATGTAGATTTATATATATATATATATATAAATCTTATTTATTGAAAAATATTACAATCTGTCTCAAGAACATTTATAATAGTATTGAGAGATCACATTCACGCAGAAAAATAATATATATAGAATAAATAAGAATAAAATAAATAAATAAAAAGAACACATACATACCTATATACAACATTTACCCATGTAAATATAGTTAGTTTAAATGAAGAAAAATTATAATGATTGAAGGTCTTGCATTTTACCAGGCAGTTCTGGGTCAAACTATCTGATATACCTCAGTGACCCTTCCGGATCTCCCCGACCAACCTCTCATACCCCTGAAGCCAAAAATCGACCTCATCTCATGCGAAGGTTTGGTTGTAAATTACGAACATTTATGTTATTCTGAGTGAAAAGAATCTTGTTTACCACTCCAGAGGCGCTGCTTTGAAAAATGGTGGATGATTTAAAAAATATTATGCCAGCAACTTAAGGATCGAAACGGGAAATCCATTACGAAAAATATGACACAAGTTCTTACATTTTTAACATGTACATATAGGTTTAGGTACGTAAAAAACCAAATTCCTGACGCGTGTCACCAAGGGAAAACTTCTTGCAGCCAAAAAAGTCATTATTTTCGATATTTTTTGGGTTTTTCACCTATAATTCCTAAAGGATGCATCAAAGCGAAATGTGTATTCATTAATAAATTACAGGACGTCAAACTGTGCGTCGAACATGTACAGAAAGTTAATAATTTGGTCATTTGGTAAGGTATAACTATTTTAATATATCTCACTTACACCAAACAAAATCGGTAATCTCCCGATGGTTAGAAATTGGTAACAAAAGTATTCGTGATTTTCAATATTTCAACAGTATTAAACAGTCTATTCTACTGATTTATTTTTGTTTAGAGTCTGTCACATGCAGTATAAGCCTCTGTTCCAACTCTCAGCAGCGAAGGATTTTGATAAACGATGTGTCGAAAGATACCGAATTTCATAAAGAAATAACGAATCCCGATTCAAGATATATAATTGACCTACAATAAAAATGTCAGTACTCACTGCACATAAAATTTGATGCTCTGCAACTTTGATTCCGTGGGGTTTTCCTCTTAGGGGACTCATTTCCAAGTTACAGAGCCATTTACAGTACTTTATCTAAGTTGTTGACAAATTTGGCCAAAATCAGCGTTGATTTACCGTGGTGTTATACTTTACCAAATTATTATTTAATTTTAAATTAAACTATTATATACATAACGTTCTGTGATTTATTAAAGAGTACAGGTTTGCTTTCATGAATTCTTTAGGAGTTATAGCTGAAAAAACAAAAACATATCGAAAACATTTTGACTATTTTGGCTGTAAAAATGATTCACTTGGTGGCCCGAGTTAGCAAAGATTTTACATTCCCAAACCCATATATACATGCTAAAAAAATAAAAAACTTTTCTCACATTTTTAGCTCTTAGCTCTTAGATTTCTAGTCTTAGCTATAGTTTCGATATTTTCGCTACCGGTCTAATATACAAGATTCACAAGGTTCTTCTTACTCAGAATAACACAGACTTTCGTAATTTGCAATCAAGCCTTCAACTGCGAACAGGTCGATTTTCAGGCCCTGGCTCTCGGGCTAGAAGATAAGTTTTCCGCCGACACTCTTGCGGGGTTGCAATAAAGGGCAATAGAAATAATGGAGTTGAGTTCCTGATTCCTGGTTGGGAGCAATATATAATATGAGGTTTACACCATTTTCCAGAAACCAAACGCAAAAGGCGAACAAAGGATAAGTGGATTATCTCAATACTACAAATTGTAGGTACTAATAGAAAGATAATGGACAAATCTATTGGCTGAGAGAAAAAAATGAGAAGGAGCCAAGTCTAGGAGTTACGGGTGGATAGAGATGATAGGAGTTGTAATCAGGAAGAGTTACACGGCAGATTAGGGTGTACACACAGTTGGAGATACTACAGGAAAGTCGAGTGCAGTTGATGGGTTTGCGCGTAGAACTAATCGAGCAAAGCGGACTTGGAGGATTCCTCGGAAATGGTAGTCAAGGAAAAGAGGAAATCAAGAACATACACCGATATGATGGTGACACTAAACACCAGGAAGAAATAGCTGAGGACTCCACCATAGAACCAGCGGTCATAACATTCATTTAGGTATTACCATATAAACTTGCTTGGCAATCATTTGCTTAATAGTTCGATCAGCCCTATTCACATATATAGCATTCTGTAGTAATGAATTCCATTTGTATTAATAATGGTTCAGATCACAAATTTACTTAGAGATTAATCATTACCTAGATTAAATCATGATACTTATTGATTAAATCATAATTCTTCAACAATCTCCTTTACATGCTACCATTTAGAAACAGAGTTACAAATAGTAAATAGTAAATATGATACCGTTGGAAAAGAAAACCGATGAAAATCCTATTTCGACCTAGTAAATTACAGTAGGAGGTCTGTGGTATCTAGCTTTCTAATACATAATTAATATATTTTTAAGTAGATCAATTGAGATGAATTATAGTTTTTTATCTTGAACCGATAGAAATACAAATGTAAACATTTAATACATTAAATAGAAACAAATGGGGTTTCTGGAACTCCCTAACCGCCTTAGAAAATCGGTGAACTCAAAACGTAGCAATACCTAATATGGTCACTTAATATATGAAAAACAAATTTAACTAATTGAAATAGTTCTTTTTTTATGTTACATGACCAAACCCGTCGTTATATAATTTACTTTTCATTAATTGCAAATATGTTATGTATTTTATATCTATCCCTCTTTTGCAACTAATTTGTATGAATACATAATACTACTTAAATTATCCGTTAACAAATAGTATATCGTTGGTTTATTGATAAAACAACTATGTACATTTGTGAAGGAGCTGAACGTGTATAGTACTTTTAATACACTTGTGAATTTCAATCATACATTTTGTTCCGAAACTCAATAAGTGTATCAAAAATAACCCAATTTATACATCAAAAATTGTTGATATAATTCTAAATAATTGTTTTTAAAGAAAACTATATTTACAATTATATTTCGAAAATATGGAGGTAATTGGTGAACATTGTAAAATACATAATAATATTAAATATATAAAAGGAAAATTATTTTCGGTTCACTTAGAGGATATAGCCCTTGTTAAGTGTTACACGTTTAGTGAGGTCTGGGTTTGTCACTGCTCACCCAAGTGTCATGATAAATGGTGCTTTCACGCTCAACCACACACCGCTTACTAAAGGATTTAGAATAAATCCTGACAAGTGTACGCTGGAGATAGAACAGTTTTATTAAGTACGAAATGTTAAAATACAGATACGAATAATTTATTAAAGGCTTACGGTTATTTAATAACAATAAAGTCCGCCTAATAAATAAGTATTGTTCCTCAATCATTGTTATTCCCTCAGCTTGTTTTCTTTATTATATAAGAAAATATGCGAGAATATAAATTCGAACACTTCACTAAGTTAATAATACTATTTAAAAGTGAATAAAACAAGAAATAAAAAAACGTCTAATTTATCGAAGTAGGTATAAAAAGAACACGTAAAATCACTGATGAGCATTTGAAATTCATTGAGCCTTTCCTAAACTTATAGATGTAACAGTGGGTAAGTTCCTAAGCTAATCGCTGAGATCATTGATCGATCGAGTGGGTTTAAGAACTTTTCAAAACTAATTATAATTTCAGTAATTAAATTAAATGGAAATTGGTACGAGACCATTTTTACATTATCCTCTTTATACGTTTCCTCTAAATTTGGAGTTAGGCTAATGTCGACAGTTGGATTTCACTATAGATGGGCAAGCTCGGAACTAAAATTCTTCGATGATGTCTAAAACGTCAAACCTGAATGTAATTTTTAACTCACATCTAAAGCTTCCCTTGGTACCTTCGATAATTAACATAATTTCAGCATTAGTTATTTGCGTATATTTTCTCGTTTTGTCTCATTAAGGAGATCGGATATAAAAATGCATTTTTAATTCTTCCAAACGAGGATTTAAAAACGAAAAGATGATTACCTTTTGAGTGTCAAGAAGTTATCGAAACTTAAATATCACAGTTGCAAATTTGAAGACCGTATACCAAGTGACTAATTGGTAGAGCTGTTTTGGCCAATATATCGCACTAGCACTGGTAGAACAACTGAAGCAGTATCAGTAAACAAGTTCTTGATTAAATAAGATTTTAGTGGTTGGTTCAATTCCGTTAAACGTATATTGATGGAAAAAATGAAAATTTTCTAACTGTTTTACGTTTTTTCTTTTGAATTCTTCCTTAAGTGTCCAAATGAGTAATGTAATTCCAAAAGAAGGTGGTTTTGTATATAAAATACCTACTGATTTAGACTGTACTGTAGTGTCACAGTTTAAGTAATTTATTAACCAAGAGTAATATGTACAATAATATAAAATATTTCCTACTTACTTACTCACGTAAACCGTCCTCATCAATCGCTAAGATGTGTAAGGCTTCTGCCTGTCGATCTGATCCATAAGTCTCTATCTTGGGTCCATTGGTACCTTCTCGTCCAATCTGTACCTCTTCGGTCAAAGGCTTCCATAATTCCGCTTTGCTAGGTCTTCCTAGCTCATCCTCTACGTCTTCTACTTACCACTTGCGTGTGAGTGTGAACCTTGCTAATTCTATCTTCTGGTATTCGAGAGACGTATCTGAACCTTAGCTGATGTTCTATTTTTTCTCTTGCATTCTGAAGACCCAGGTTGGATCGGATAATGATATTCCTGGATCAGTCACTCGTTATATTATATTCGACATTATAGAAGGTGCTCATCTACATTGTTTGGAGTTGGCTTTTCTGTTTACCTATACCCCCGTGAGAACTCTCGTGTTAGGTAGCTATCCACCCTAATACATATGATATATAAGTGACAAAAGGAAAACATTTTTATTCGTATATACAATTTAGTATTATCAAGGTAGTCTATTCAACTAACATCATTGGTGAAGCTTCCTACATCACAACAGGTTAAGCGCTAACACACAACTATCCCTGACCTTGAACTAATTCATAATAGTAGTCGCTACCATTTGTTTGGTTCAGAAGAGACATGATTTGTATTTATCGGACTTACTACGATTATAGAAGTCTACCATTGAGAATATAAAAGCCAGGCTTGAATATTTTTATATTTATAAAGCCTGATCCGTATCAGTAGAGAATTTGTCTCAGTTTGTATACGAAGAAATGTCTATGGATCAACCATCTGCAACAGGCCTGTTGCAAGACCTAAAATCCAGGTCTAATGCCCCCTGGTCGAAATAGGAAACATTATGCAACATTAGACATATTCCGGAACATTTTAACACTGTGGACATCAATCGACTCCAGCTACCGGGTGGTTGTGCACCATTATTTTCCAAAGTTTTACAGTTTTTTAAAACCTGTGGTCTAACCTGGTGGAGAGTTTTAAAACTAATTGAAGATTACCTTGGCGTCTCCCAGTCTTAATTTATTTAGTAATGTATTATCGAACCTAGGTCCTTATCTGAGTACTTTGAGCGTCTACCAACATTTACATTTTCGTGTCCCTTCACTTGTAATCAGCACTAAGCAGGAACTAGTTCCGCACAAAAGTTTGTCCTCTAAAGTGGGCTGCGGAGATAAGACTGAAAAATTCACATCGTAGTTTGGACGCTTGGCTAGACAAATAATACTGTATTTAGATGGTCTATAGGAAACTTACGCAACAATGTCCACAAGTGCGTACTAGGCTTAAAAATATCAATAAGTATTTATATTATTCGAGGAATCCTAGAAATCAAATTCTCTTCCATTTACTTTTCCAATAGATTTTTATTTCATTCAAGACTATCATAAACGGCAATATTTTACTTTTTAAAACCTAAACATGTGATAAGTACCCCATGGCAACATTAGCACTTAAGAGATTTTCGATAAAAATTACAACTCATCTCGAACTGTACATTTTAGGGTTTTAACACATCCTTTGGAACTAAATTATTTTTTGATGCGCGCTACAGAATCTTTAAACAGTTTAATCCGTCTTCATTCGTCGACTTTTGAAATTACCTGTGTTTTGAATTTTGTCAATGAATTTTATTATAGCTGTACTAAAGTTATAGATTTCAAAATTGGCATTCATCACTTATTCGTGAAATTCCCATTCTTCTGACACCTCATTCATCAAATCGCTCCTAAGATCCGGAAAACGGTTTATACTACCGTTTTATATATAGGATATGTTCTTTCGAATTCACTTTCCCCGATCCGTGACGTCACCGTAACCTAGGCCGATGGACACTACCCGCTAGACGGCCCAAAAGAGAAAGATTATAAAAATAAAATCTTTAAGAAAATATATATTTCCCTATACTAAATTAACTATTTTATGTCTTTTTTAACAGAGGAGACTACACCGTATCTTTAAAAAGGAATTCTTACGAAGTCACTCTTGGTTTGATCATCCGAAACCTGAGGCCTATAGACATCGGGAGGTATTACTGTTGTTTGACAAATGAGAAAGGAATGGCTAGTGCAACTATATATCTGTATGGTAAGAAGGATTATTTTATTGTAGCATGCATATATTATACACACACATATACGCGCACGAACATACAAACAAACAAGTGCACACGTACAAACATACATAATTACTTACATTCCTTATGAAGTTTATTCTTTTTATAGTTTAATATCATTGAATGATATACGTTACGTGCATGAATAAGTATGGAATATATAACAAAATTTGTATAGAATATAATTGAAATTGCATATAAAATACAGTCGTATTGCAGGATTATATTATATTACCTAAGCTTCATTTATTTTATTACAATAATTATATTCTCTTTTTTATTCTTGATAAGAATATATTACTTAAAGACATATGATAGATAACCGAAAAATTTAACTGTTAATCTCAGTAAGTTTATATGCACACACTTATAATATCACGGTTAAAGTAAGCTATAAGATAAAGTAAGCTGCTTTGAGCCAATAATTTTAAATTTATTAAAAAAAAATGTTTTAGCGTAAAATAATTTTAATTATTATCCATTTATTGTGTTTTATAACTAATGGTTATTTAAGAATCATAAAAGAAGATAGGATAAAAAGGTGGGAATTATTAAAATTATTCCATAACTGCTATATTTTGGAAAGCATTACAGTTTTGGTACTTTAGGCAATATTTTCACAGAATGTTTAATTATTCTGAAAAAATACTAGTTTGGTTTAGAATGAAATTTTAAATAAGTAATTTAGTTCTCATATTTACAGAGATAAAACCAGAAACCTCCACTACACAAAGAACAACAACAGTCAAAATAACAAAACGTAAGTAAGAACTATTATTTCATTTATTAGTTTTTACTTTCACTTACCTATGTAGTATTGTACTATATGTAATATAGTAAGGTTAAGTATTGCAAACTTGAAAATTTTTTAATCTGAGTTTTCAACGGAAACACACGTTTTGAGGTCTCCTGAGTCCAAATAACCAAGTCCCGAAAAATTTTCTTTGTGTATGTGAACAATCTAGCTCAAAAACCAAAAGTCGTACGAAACCGATAATACATATTTAAGATAGGTTTTTTCTTAAACCTAAACTTTTTTCTTAAACTTTTTCTTAAAATCGGCTAACAGGAAGTGCCACATTATATCAACGGTGAAAAAATTTTTTATAATTTTCTCAAACACGGGTCTAACGATTTTTATTAAACTCGGTGTATCATTGTATAATGAAGTAAATTTAATATCAATTAGGTCTTATCTTCATTTATGTCACTTTACAGAGCTTAAATGCCAAATGTTCTTATACGTCTTCCTCTAAAGTACCTATAAATGGTTTATTTAAAAAAATTAACTCCCTTTTTCTTGACAGTGATTATAAAAAAATAGCTAAATGTAAGGAATATGATAACTGGAAGCTGGAGAAAAAAAGAAAAATTCTTATGCAGATTGAAAATAAATTTCCAGAAATAACAGTCAGAAGGTATACGTAAAATATATCGTCGAAAGGTAGGAAAATAATATCAAATAAATAATCTTGTAGAAGGTAAGGGAGAGTAAAGTAAATATATAAATAATAATTTCAGAAAACTAACATTATTTAACATAAATGGCATGAAATTAAATGAAATTTTCTTGCTATATATGAACTTTTAAATGTTTTTTTTTTAATTTGAAAAAAAGTATTTAAACTCCACCGAATCAAGCCAATTGTTAGGATTGTTATCGGTCGTTTATTCCAAAAAATTATTAAGTAACCATTTGGAAAATTAAATTAGTGAATAATTTGATGAATTTTTCCTTTGTGAAATCCCAACATTATCCACTTACAATTAGTGTGACAACTTTTGAAATATCCATAGCAGGCAATGAAAATCTCGTAATTTAATTTTAGTTAACTTTAAAATGGTAAATAACAGTTTAATAACTAACAGTCTTACAATTCATAATCATTTGTGGTTAAATATTCAAATATACTTTTAAACCTCTCTAGGCATATATGAGCCTTTCGGTTGACAAAATACTAACTCCAATTACAACATTCTTTATTATTAATTTTAGTGATGTTTCTAGTGGCCAAATATATACCTTTAGTCACACTTTTATATTTCAAAACTGCAATCACCTACTCTGTAATCAATTTACTCATTGTTTGTATAGATATAACTTTTCCAACTAGAAATATCACTAAAATGACAAAAATATTGAAATTGGAGTTGGTCATTCTGGCAACTGAAAGGCTCAGTGGCTGAAGTTGTGTGGTTTATAAAAGTAGATGGAGTAACGAGATTTTTATTGCCTACCGTCGATATAATAATTAGACTTTTTGTAATTTTAATGGTCTTAATGATTTGTTATCTGTGAGCTTAAGCTTTAGCTCCGTTTAAAATGTACCTCAAAAATTTTATAATAGCCCAGCATTGACAGAAAATAATTTCTGTTCAAAGTAGAGCGGTAAATGAAAGTTTTGTTTTCCCGCAACTGATTTCTTTTTTTTTTTTAGATTTTATCAAGAAAAAACTAATTTTATTAAGGTGAAACTAATTTTATTCTCTTTTATTAGATAAAAACTTGTATATTATTTTATAATAAAGGAATTAAACTAACTATTTGACAACACATACAATAACAATTGTATGTAACAATAACAACACAAATAAATACTGCGGTTTTGTAAGAAGAAACGCGCTAATTAAATTGGAAAAGATTTATTGGATTGGTGTCCCTTCTAACGAGTATTTATTTTGGTCCTACGGGCGAAGACTTTGACATCAGAAAGAAGCGTACTCATCTCAACTGGTTAGGATCTGTCAATTGAAAGAAATCATTTTAGTTGGCACAGGCTTCCATTCAATTGTAAAGCCTTATCCTATAAATTTGTATAAATAAATCGCTTCTCACCTTCAAAACTTAGAGAATTTTTCGTTCAATTGCACGAAGTTCATTAGCATTGGTATTTGCCAAATGTTAAAAGATTATTGCGCATTCGACACATTGTGAATTAAAAAACTAATATAATGGAATTAGCGAATCCTGGACCCTCGAGTAGGGTGGCCCAAGAAGTTACCACGATTCAGGGATAACATAACAAAGATTCTAGAATAAATCTTTTCCAATTTAATTAGCGTGTTTACTATACAGAAACCACAATATTTATTTATGCTTTATTATTTATCAAATAATAGGATGGGAAAAATATATAGTTTTTGAATAACTTTCCAATTTCTGATTATTCTTTTTATTTTTGTTTAGAAATTGATTTACAAGTTTTCACGTATAAATTATTTCTGACTTGACCATCCCTGTTCTAGATGTTATTATTATAAAAGAATATAATCAGGCTCAATATTCGAAATTCATCGGCAAATTTTGGAATTGCAAAGGTATATTCAGTTATAACCAAGCGTAGCTCCGATAACAGCAGTTTGGAATGGTGAGGAGATGGTTGCTCCTGGTAAATTTCCACACTGAACACACAACTCATCCGACCCTAAGCAAATCGTCAAATTACAAACCTAATTTGGCTCTCAATAATTAGTCTATGAACGAAAATTGAAAAAACAATGATTAGAACATTATAGGAAAGTTTAATCGTTAGAGCCGTTTTTGCGCTACAGGCTATAGAAAAACATGTTTTTCATTTATTTCGCGCAAGTTATTGCTCATGGAGTACCGAATTTCCGTCACAGGCATCAGTAGTCAAAACACTACAAGTAGGGTAGAAATGCCGGTTCTAGGCCACTTTAATCCCAGAATTTGCGGAGGAGAATTGGACTTTGGACCCTGGGCTATTCTTACCTTAACCACCTGTACACCACGTGACCAATATAATTTATTTTGATTGATCTTAATCCCTAATCCCTAATCCTAATCCTTAATCTAATTTGTATTTTTCATTTTTAAGTTCGACAGGTCCGGACTGTCTCAATGGTCTCATCTTGTCTACCTCAAGTAAATATAAGTGTAACGAGATAAATATAGACATATATTGTGACATTCTACGATTCATGTCTCAATGGTCTCATCTTGTCTACCTCAAGTAAATATATAAGTGTAACGACTAAAATATTTATTATTGCAAACGAATATAAATTATAACAATGAAATATACACATATATTATTACAAAATGAATATTATACATATATGGTAACGACAAAAAATATATATTTATTACAAAGGAATATAAATAAATTGTATTGACGAAAATATTTATTATTACAAAAGGAATATAAATTATAACAATGAAATATATACATATATTCTAATAATTTTACGATAATATATCATAAAATTAACAACATCACGTCATCACCCATCCCTCCCCCTCTTCTTCTCATCATTTTTATATATTGTTTTTTTTTTTTCATAAATATCAAAACGTATTTAATAATCTAAGAATATACATCTCCAATATCACGAATATTGTAATAAATCGAAATTCGATTAATCGATCTTAAAACTAATTCATTTTCGAATTTTACAAACATAATAACCTAATAGTAGACTCTATATCGAAAAAAAAAATCATAAAGTTAATATACGTAATATATTTTCATAACATATGTTATATAGAAGGCCGTGGAGAGTACAGCTGCGTTAGGCGACAAGTCTCTTCACGTTTGAACATGCATGGCATGTATGTGGGGACAAGGTCCACAGCGAAGGAAGCGGTAGGGTCGGAAGAGATTGGTGGGGGAAACCATCAGCCAATCAGATTCGAGGATACAACCGGAGGTACCCGTGTGCCTACCCCACTACTCTCATTCTAGCTCCAGACTTCACAGTGTTCCTATCGTACTTAGTGTCCTCTGCGTTAGAACTCTCTCTCTTCTTCTACAGTTTTGTTTAGATTATTAGTTTAGTTTCTTATTATAGTTATCTACAGTGTTTTTTCTTATATTTCAAAGTTATTTTTGTTTTTTCATACTTTTTTTCCATCCTAAGGTAGTTTTTTCTTTTTATTTAGTTCTCTATTAAAAATTTTCTATTCTGTTAACATTTTTCTTTTTGGGTTTTCTTTTTTACATCTTCATTCTCTTATAGTGTAGTGTTCTTTTTTTTTCCTTCTTATTTATTATATATATTTATCAAAGTTTAAAGTTTTTTCGTTTCGTGTTTTTCTTAATATTTATAGTTATTATTCTTTCTTTTTGTTCTTATTATATATATTTTAAATTTATATTCGTGTGTTTTTCTTAATATCATTTCCAAAGTAATTGTTTTTTTTTTGTTCTTATTATATATTTAAAGTTATTTTCATGTGTGTTTCTTAATATCATTTTCAAAGTAATTGTTATTTCTTTTTGTTCTTATTATATATATATTTAAAGTTATTTTTGTGTGTGTTTCTTGTTATCGTTTTTAAAGTTATTATTCATTCGTTTTTTTTTTGTTCTTATTATATATATTTATACTAGTTTATAGAGTTTTTCTTTTCGTTTTTTCTTATTATGTTATTTTTTTTGTTTTAATTCATTTATCGGTCGGAGATAATTTTTTTTCTTTATTATTATATATAGTTATTCTTTATTAAATATATATTTTACAAAAAATGGAATCATCGTCTAGAACATGTGCTAATTGCAATAAATCGTTTGCAACACATACAGAGTGCATGGCACATGAAGTAACATGTTTTCACAGCCAGGAATTCAAACAACTAGCCTCGTGTGTATGCGCCAAATTGGCAAATCTTTTTCGAGATCAAATCATCGAAAGCGACATGAGGCTACTTGTGGGGATTCAACACAAACTCAAGAGCTTACACGTAACATAGAATAGATATGTTCATATTGCGGGAAATCCTTCAATCAATCAAATAAC